ATACCAAGGGAACATGAATCAAATATGTATCTTTATTCATTTACAATAAACTCATAAAGTACATCATTCTGATTGAAGCTAAGGGCATACAAAACTATCTAACAGTAAATTCAGGCCAACACTCAGACCAAGTATGTCCTACCCTCATCGTATGTTTCTCATTTTTTTTTCTTTTTTCTTCTCCCACTTACTATAGAATAATTGGGATCTAAATGATTATTGAAGATGCGGTGAGGCTTCAACTGAGTTGGTCTCTCTAAGTGGCCTTTGAATCCAAGCTTCAACTGAGTAAGAGGACTGAGAAGTTTTGAACCCTGATATATTGTTTGCCGTGTTTTGCATGTTTAAAACCAGATTTAACATGAGATTTACCCTATTTTCTTTGATGGCTAATCTACTTAGTTTAGACATTCAGTATCTTTCAATTCTGGGAGAATGGTTACTGGGTTCATTCCCATGAGATCAAGATGATAAGCTCTTAACTTATCTGTGGATTGGTGACTGTAAGCTCATCTGAGGATGCGCTAAGCATTGCATGCTTGAAGAATGGTGATCCAACTCTACATGCAATGCCAAATCTAGACTAGGTCCATGCACTCATCAAGAACTACATACCCACTGTTTTCTTCCATCCTGATGAGATTTATTACCCCTCCTCTGCGCCATGGTTTTTTAAAAATGGTGCTTTGTTGTACCGAAAAGGTGAATCAACTGGAGAGGTGATTGATTCTAGAGGTTCAAATTTGCCAAGTGGTGGGTCTAATGATGGAGAGTTTTGGATTGACTTGCCAAATGATGACCAGAATAACACCAAATTTGGCAACATAGAAAGTGCAGAACTGTATGTTCATGTGAAGCCATCTCTAGTAGGAACCTCCACTGATATTGTAATGTGGATTTTATTCAATGGGCCAGCCACAATATAAACGGTATTCGAAAATCTAATTTCAAATTCGATATTCGATATAATCGAATTGAATTCGGATAATTCGAATATCTAATCGGTCGAATTCGGATATCCTATTATACCAAATAGTTAATAGGATTCGAATTCAGATATGACCTGATTCGATTCGATAAATATTCAAATTTGATCAATTATTTAATTCTTATATATAATATATAAAATATTTTATATCATTTATATATAATAATTAATTTATATATTTATATACTTTATATCAATAAAATATTTATTATTATCTAAAATAATTAATTAATCGAATTCGAATCGAATCAAATATTCAAATATTTAATCAGATTCGAATTCAGATATTAATTTTCAATATCTATTGGATATCGAATCAAATTCAGATTTCAGATTATCTAATCGGATTCAAATTCAAATATTGCCTGATTTGATTCAAATTCGCTCTGTTTACACCCCTAATTGGAACAGTTAATTTTGCACTTAATAGGATAGGGCAGCATGTGGGTGATTGGGAACATTTCACACTCCATGTGAGTAACTTCACTGGTGAGCTCTGGAGTATGTACTTCTCACAACACAGTGGGGGAGAATGGGTGGATGCTTGTAACTTGGAGTTCATTAAGGGAAACAAGGCATTTGTTTACTCATCAAAGAGTGGTCATGCAAGCTTTGCACATCCTGGAAACTATATTTATGGATCTACAAAGCTGGGGATAGGAGTTAGGAATGATGATGCTCAAAGCAACTTTTTTGTGGATTCAAGCATCAAGTATCAAATTGTTGCAGCAGAATATCTTGGAGGTGGAATTGCTACTGAGCCTTGTTGGTTGCAGTTTATGAGAGAGTGGGGTCCAACCGTTGTGTACAATTCAAGATCTGAACTGGAAAAGATTATCAGTCTTCTTCCCTTTTTTATCAGGTTTTGATCAGTGGAAAGCATTTTTGATAAGTTCCAGTTGAGCTTTAATGGTAGTTGTATATATTTTCAATCAAATATATTTCAACCAGGACACAAAGCCCAAATAAAAGGTGGATGTATAGAAAATATTAAGAGAATATATCTTAAACCCAACAAAATCCACTCCAGCCCGAGCATAACCCATGTTATGTTAGATCAAACTCAAGTCAGGCTTGAGTTGGTAAACTTGGACTTGATCTCGGGTTGGACCAGACATGAACCGAAGATCTTTAAGTCATAGTTTTGGGCTTTGATTGACCCTTATCTAAACACAACCTGCCCACATTGCACTCCTACCCACGACAATTTTACCCACATAACATAACATTGCAGCTACACATGGGGAACATCTCATCTTCTTACATGTCATTATTCATGGAAGATGTTCCCAATGCAAGGAATTAGTGTTTTGTGGGTAGCGTGGGTCGAGTTCTTGTGGATAGGACAATTCTACCCACATAACTAAGGTACCTTTGTTGAATTTGAAAAATGATATGGTCAAATCCGATCTCATTAATTACATATATTTATGATTCACTTGAATTAAGACCAATTAGATTGATGTCATGAAATTTGGTCTTAAGGCTTAGTTTGGAAAGAGTATAAATGCAAATATGTACAGTGTAAATACATTCAAAATATAAGGTTTTGCCCTCTATATATTTGCATTTGTACTCCTTCCAAACTCAGCCTAGTTGTCAATCATTTTTAACCCAACCTTCATCCCAAAGAAATAAAAATTCGATCCCTCTTTGGGGTGGATAAATTATGTATACATAGAGGAAGAAAATTGGCCAAATTATACAGAACATAAATAAAAATTCAATCCCTCTTCCGGGTGGATAAATTATGTATAAATAGAGGAAGAAAATTGACCAAATTATATAGAACACCAATAAATATACTTACCTAAATAACACATTTCCAAGTGATACTSCATAAATGCATTTACCCAAATAATTAACTTATCGCCAAGCTTACAGAGCCTTCAAATAAGAAGAGGAATTAGATGATTTTCCTTGAAATAATAGGTGGAAGCCACCAACTTGATCCCAAACCATCCCAACTACAATTATCACAAGATGCTTTTAGTTTCAATCCTCATGCTAGCCTTAGATTAGAAAATTAAAATACGACCTAGAAAATAATACATAGAAAATAATACAAAATACAAGGTTTTGTACTCTACAAATTTGCATTTGTACTCCTTTATGCTCAGTTTGGAAGGAATACAAATACAAATATATACGGTATAAATACATATAAAATAATGCAAAATACAAGAATTTACACTCATATTTGTATTTGTAATCCATCCAAACAGAGTCTTAGATTTCAATAATTTAAACAAAGATATTATGACCGGTAAGAAGGGGGTGTAAACTATTAAACTAACATGGTTAGACTTTTCAACGGTAGCTAGCGAAACTCAACAACCATGTCAATGTGGCGCAGGATCAAGATTTGTGCTTACTACACAGACTGCTGAGGGAAGTCAACTTACCACAACACAGGTAGGTTGCAGGTTCGTCGGTTCTTCTCGTTCCCAATGTCAAGTTATTATGTGTTCATCACATTCACAAGGTATTCAAAAGGAYTCTTGCATCCTGTATCCAACCGTTAATTTCATTTTTTTAGGGAAAATTCCCGATAGGTACCCTGTACTTTAGGCCGAGTGCCAATTTAGTATCCAAACTTTTTAACACGATAATCCAGTACCCGAACTTTCAAAATGCAACAATCTAGTACCTACCATTAATTAACCATTAAATGGTATATAAAAAGACATAAATGCCTTTCAAGTATCATCTAATTTTCTTTATCAATCATCCGTTGATTGATCTTCAATTCATCCATCTAAAGTTTGTTACGAACTAGATAAAGTAAATAATAAGAGAAAAAATAGAACAAGTTTATTTTTCTTTTACTTGGGTCTTGACATGACTCACATGAGCAGATTGAGAGGCAAGTTTTAGGATTCAAACTCGGTAATGAAGGTTCAAATGGAAGAAAGAGAGCTGATGATGAAGATTTGAGACTTCAGAAACTCGACCAGAATACGGGCCTTAGCTTTAAAAAACAAGTGAAGAGAAAATGCACAACCTCCGTCTCCGTGCCATCTTAGCTTTGAATGTAGGTATCAAAGCTAAGTTCCTGATTTCACTCTTGGAGGAGTATGTTCGAACCAGCATAGGCGCCAGTGACCTCGCTGCACTCTCTGTCTCCGTCAACATCATCGGTGGCAGATTTACAATGCTGGATCAGTGTAGCTGTTTAACCAAGACCTGGGCATTCACCGGTTCGAACATACTCCAAAACCAGAATATGTTAAAAATCAACCAAAACCAAATCAATCAGTCTAACAAAAAAAAAAAAAAAAACAATGAATCAAACGCAACTGCAGACTTCCAAGAACATTGCACATAACTAAAGTTTAAAACATCAGCAATTAGCTAGCAATCGATCAAAACTAGATAAAACAGCAATTGTTGGTGGAAATAAGGAACCGTTTGATCTTTGGTGTTGTGCGAAACTGGAGATAATGGAGGAGTTCCGAATGCAGTTTAGATACCGACGTTCATTTCTTCTTCGATGATGATTACCTTCTTCGTCTTAGGTGGTGTTAGAAGATGCATCGATAGTGATCATTTTCTTCTCTTTTGATGGGGTTCAAACAGTAATGGTATGGACTTGTTGGGATTGCGGGACAGGGATGAAGATGAGGGCTTGGTGGGAGTTGTTTAGAGGAGGATTAATGGCGGGAGAGTGGGTATTTTAGGAATTCAAAAACCAGGTCGGTTCTGCTTCATCAACTTATCAAGTTGGTTTCATCTCATGTCCTCTTGTTCATTCACTTTTTGTTTCGTTCACTCGTGTGGAAGTGGGGTCATCTATGAATTATGATAATAGTGGTTATGGAGCGAAGATCGGAATAGGCTCGGATGACGTTGAAGCTGCTGGGGCCCACTGAACTGAGGAGGCATTTTACTGTGTGAAGCATTTCACTATAGCATTACTACTAGAAGCACTAAGGAAGAACATATAATAGGAAAACACTTGAGATGGATTGGCCTTGGCAAAGAGAAGGGTTGGCAACCAAGTAGGCACGTCCTGAGGAGATTAAGAAATCAGTTGCGTCAGGAGACTAAAATAGCGAAGGATTTTGGAGGATTGTCAATTATTTTATGCAAAAAGGGTTTTTTTTTTATTTTCAAGGATAATTTTAACATTTTTAAATCGCACATAAGATCATATAATATATATACTAGATTAGTTCCCTAAATTGTCGCATGTAAATTTTCCCTTTTTTTTAACTTGTCGAGAATTTTGAAGTTTTCTTATGTTACAATGCCAGAGTTCCTTTACTTTCCTCGAGAATATTTTCTACCTTTTGCAATTAATAGCAAAAAGGATTTACTTGAAATTAAGGTCCCCGGCTGGTTGCAAATATTTTCTACGCTTCTCGTAGCTGCCAACCGCTAACTGGCTCAGTTAGTAAAGTAAGGTCCCCGGCTGATTGTAGCGGAGACTGGCCTCCGTTGTCTACTCCCATGAACCCAAAAAATAAAAGGAAAACTGGGAAAGAAATTAACGCTTCTCTGACTCAGGTGATTATTATCTTATCATGGCAGACGCGGTAAAGCTTTTTGTTCATGATAGGGAGTTCATATTTTTTCAGGCTCTCATCGGCCGGTGTATCTATCCATCAAAGTCCAAGCTAGATGTACAAGTATTTGTAACTGTACGCGTTTTTTTTTTTTTTAAGTTATAGTTTTTTTTCTTGAGTTTCCTTGGTGGTTCGATCATAAACTTCAGTTTTTTCCAGCCGTGTTTTGATAGATTTCAGTTTTATGGCCATTTTGAACTAAATTGCTTGATTTGGATGCTTTCTGTTGAACAGCATACCAGATGAGATGAATACGATTCCAGGGTTTCGAAGTTTGGTTATAGGGTTTTACCAGTAACTATATGGAACTAGATTTCTCCTACCCTTTTCACTTTATTCGGTTGAAATGGGTATAATATTGGTATCCTTGAATTTCACGTATTCTCAAGTTCTGTTGTTTATGGACTAAATTCATCAGTCTAGCTATCACAAAAAGATCCACCAGTCTAACGTGTTTTTTAATCAGAATATGAACCGGAAAGAAGTTTGAGGCTTTGAACGGCTTCTTTTCTTTTCGTATTCTACCTTCTAAATTACACTTTCTGGATTTCTTTTGGTACCTTATTCAATACTAGATTATTTGCTTCGTTTTTGGGTTATGCTTAAAATTTAAACAAAGATTTGTACGAGTTACACTTTTATTTTGCTTATATCTTACCCTTTTCTGGCTTGAGTTTGTAGAAAAACCTGCTACTCTTGAATTCCCACCATGTTTTGACCTGATTTGGTTAAAATTTCCATTGGAGAAGTGAAGGATGTATTTACACGCATTGTCATCTTATTACTAGCACATTTTGATATTCCTTGTACGTATAATGTAACGGAATCACACTTTTGGTCTTGAATCACTAGAGGCTGAACTTTCCTTTCCCTGTATCCTGGGCTTATTAGGAGTTGCACTCCATTTCCTTTTATGAAGATTTTTTTGCTTCACTTCTTTGAGTTTTAATAGTTTTCTTTAGCTCTCATGATAGAAATACCAATTGAGCCTGCTATTTGGGGTTTTGGGATGTGTGCAGGAACCCTGGCAATGATTATGGGAGTAGAGGTTCAGCTTTTTGTCACAATCCAAAGAGAAAGTGATGAATTGTAGCACAAGATTTTGATTTCATAGTTGTTCCAGGGTGTTTTGTTAAAGGACAGAAAACAGCAGAGGTTTATACAATTCGAAATTGAGGTTCTTTGTATCAAGGGAACCTGGAAATTCCCAATTATCTCAATAATGATTTCAGCTAGTTATGGGAAGGGAATAGAGGAAGTTCAGGAAGAACTAGGCTCAAGTCCAATTCCAAATGGTTCTGAAGGAATGGCCAGAGTCCCATTTCACATGTCATCATCTCAAAGAGGACTGCTAGGCCAAGAAAACCCTCAAAAAGGGTCTCCAAATGTTTCAACAGCTCTTCCTAGTAGAGTAGGGATCCTGAAATTTGGTTCAACTGGTCTTTTGGCTTCTCCATCAGCTAAATTCCTGCAAATTTCCGAGGAAAGAGATGAAGTTTCACGTTCAGTTCCTTCTTCTGCTAGCCAAGGTTCCCAAAATCATTTTAATTTGGTCTTTGTTCAGAAAATTAATTGGGTATCTCTGAGGAAAATCTGCAAAGAGTGGATCAGAAATCCAATGAACTTGGCCCTTCTTGTTTGGATCACCTGTGTTGCTGTCTCTGGTGCTATCCTCTTCCTCGTCATGACTGGAATGTTGAACAATGTCCTACCAAGGAAATCCCAGAGAGATGCCTGGTTTGAAGTCAATAATCAAATCCTCAATGCCCTCTTTACACTTATGTGCCTTTACCAACATCCTAAGCGGTTCCACCACCTTGTGCTTTTATTCAGATGGCAACCAGGGGATATCTCTAG